GAAGATTTTCAACAGCATCATCATCTGATGGATCATACGGAATTTTTCCGCTTGATTCGGGACAAAGATTTTCAATTTGTTTCACATTCCAATACACCTTAAGTTCTTTTGAATCAAAGCCATTTTCTCGGAATTTTTTTATATACTCACGAGATTGCAGTACACCAGCATATCGCTAAAATAAAAATTAAACGTAACCCATTTCTATATAATAAATATAGTAACATGTAAAAGAAAACTTATAAATGAAGTAAATATTGCATACATTCAATTTTTATTCATCTTTGTATGGTTCGATCAATAATTTTAGTCGAAAAAAATTATTTATTATGATTATCTCTTTTTTTGAGAAATAAAATAAAAATTATTCAAAAGTCCTATCAACAACTCACAGTTTTGACTTTTAATTCAAAATAAGGTTCAGCAGCATTAGATCGGCAATAACGATCCATTTCATCACAATTTTGGTCGGCAATTCTACTATATTTCTTTTCAAGTTCTATCCAATTTATTGGTTGTTTATTTATATTGACGAGCCATTGTTGAACATTGTGTGCATGTTGAATCACTTGTTGATCAATTTCTGTGCTATTTTCTTGGATTTTCTTTTCAATATCTATTAGTTTTTTCTTTATTTCAAGCAAAAATATGAGAATCGTACGTTCACTGTAATCAAAACCAGGTTTACGAAATGTTGTTGCAACTGAAACTATAGATTTGATAACTTGTTGTGTAAGAGACTCAAAAGGTACAAAGACAGATGAACGAAGTAACATATTTTCGTTATTATTATTCTCACTCATACATCTACAACAAAGTCCCAAAAAGAAAATTCAAAACATTAATTATAAAGAATTGTTTTTCATTCCATTATAACGTGTCGTCCACTCCATGGAAACGTTAAAAAAGCACTTATCAATTAACTCCTGGAATAGATGACGCACATTTATTATATTAAATACAAAAATAAGGCTATGAAATGTTTATGTCGAATGATGATTTACAGCAATAAGAGATATAGTCTACCTCCGTTTACATCATGATAAAATGATGCCATATATTGTCCGCTTGAACAAAAAACAAATCAGAGCATATAATATTGAATCAAGTTGTTTTTTTTCCTTGAGCTCATTTTAGATTATGTGCTTCTAATCACATTTTTATTTCTAAGAAAAATATCGATTGAAGACAAAGTAATAATCTTCCTTTAATTAGAAAATTATTCTTACTGCTGACAACAATCACTGTCATTTCTATTGCTAGGCGTTTCCTTCGAAGCAATAAAAGTAATAAAAAAAGTAATAATCATGCGTGCCACACTATTTCGTCTTCCTTTTTTAAAATCCATCAAATAGATAGATTCTAGAATTTTTCTTTTGTATTTAATTGAAAATATTATACAGGTAAACATGTTTCAATAATGAAATATTTGTTTAAACAAATGAATTAACATACTAAAACAAAAGGAAATATATAGATATAATTCATCAAATATTTACCAAAAACCTGTGTTAGTTCAAGTAAAATCCAATTGTTTGATCTGTATACCAATTCAGCAACCTTGTTCGGGTGTGACGAATGGGTGTCGGTGTAGTTCCTATTTATCTACACCCAGAAATATTTATTTGGAGATAATGAAATGAAAGACAAATTATCAAACAAGTGTCTGTTCTTCTCAAATTCTCAGACTTGAACTTGATACTCAGAAAAGGCAAAGATGATTTTCTATCACAGTATTCTTCTTGCGGATGTTGAATCAATGTAACATTCATACTCATAGGTATGTCACAAAACCAATACAGTATTTGAATGATATTGACTGGTCATATAGTATGCTTTTCTGAGGGGGAACTGTTAAATCTATATGAAATCTGCAGCTCAAAATCTTAAATCAGAAAGTAAATCTAATTTTACTAGCATACAAAAAATGTCAAGTATTTTTTTTCTGTATTCATATATTTTTCGAAGAGAAATGATAATTCGTCTGTAAAAAGCCAAATATATCATAGAAAAACATATTTGTGAGTTGCCATAAATATTCATAACATGACGCCTAGATATCAGCAGCAATATACTTCTTATATCTCATTTATGTCTAGATAATTCAAGCACTATGTGATTTTGTTGCTCTTGATTCGTTTAATAATCTTCTTTTTATGAATTATAGGCTAAAAGCTTCACTCAAAATTTCGTCATACGATTATTATTTAAAGTCTTCGAGATATTCTATCTTATCATTTAAAAAGTAAATGGATCGTTTTCTATTATATCTCTCGGAAAAGTCACATTCTTCAACAAAATATCATAATAAAGATAACAAAGAAAATGCAAAAGTCTCCTCGAGAACGTGACATAGCATGAATTTCACAGTACGAGGGTGTGGGGGTGGGGGTGGGTGTAGGTGTTCATTCTCTACCCACACCCATTTCGATCGTTTATTAAAGCCTGGAAAAAAGAATCTTTTTGGCTGCTGCTAAGTTCATCTTCATCATGATCGGAATATCTCATTGACTCTTATCGCGTGAATTTCGACCTATAGGATGCTAGTATGAGTGTGAGTTACAAGAATTCCGACAACCATACCCACACCTAAATCCTTATCTTTCTCACTATTGTCATTGTTATTCTTTACCTCAAATGTCATTATTTTCAAATAGACACTCAAAACATTACTTCTTAGTCGTCGAGATATCTCTTTGACAGTTTGGAACAAATTGAGAAGTCGGAAAGATAAATTTTATTGTAATTATGTCTCTTTGATTGCTGCTGATTGCAAATAAATGACTCATTATCATCAAGAGAACTATCGATGATATTACGCTTAGTGTTCACTCGCTAGAACTTACGTTTGATCGGGTTTCTTTGAATGTTTCAGGTAATCACGAAATATATAATATACCAGGT